GTTTATTGATTATCTTTATTGCAAATAATGATTATTGGTTATCTTTATTACAAACATTGTTTTATTGATCATCATTAGGAGTATTTCGTTATTTATCATTAATTAATGTTATTGATTAAATCGTTATTAATTCCTTATTACGAATTTTTGAATGGTTTACGAAAAATTTATTTTTCTGTTTGATTAGGTGTCTACAGCCCATCAGTGGGACAGGGGACGGTATGCGTATTGTTTGATTGTTTACCCCTGTCCCCACTCTCCCTACCCTCCCCGTATTTTGTGACCACCGGGACCTCTCATGTACCACATCAGTACGCACTGATGTCGATGGAACAGGATACCGGGGCACTGCCACGGCGCAGTGCCAGGCTCGCAGTTCGTGCTCGACCTACGGTACCTCCATGAACCAAGGCTCAGCAACAGAGACTCAGCAGGCGGACGACTCCAGCAGCATCGAGTACAACATTGACGGTACCGGACACCACCGAAGTTCTTCCCGCATGCCCGGTCCAAAGGGCCAGTGAGCCGTTGGCTGACTATTTTGAGCGTCTACAGGTATTTACAGATGCCGTAGCTGCCGCCAAGGCTCAGCAGGAGGCAGCAGAGGCAGAACGTCAGCGGCTGGCCAATGAGGCGGCAGCCCAAGCTCAGCAGACTGCTGAGGATGACGCAGCGGCACGAGACCAACGGAATGCCGCCAGTACGGAGTCCCTGATTCATAGTGAAAGTCAGTGGACAACGTTCCTCCAAGGCATGATCTTTGTGCCTTCGGACGCGTAGGCAGATCCGACACCGGCGGAGGCAAAGAGGACTCACCTGGCTAACTTGATGCTGGGCATGATGAGAGGCATCATGTGGAATAACACACTGCTGCAGGCACATCTGCGCACAGAACGACAGCAGCGACAAAAATACCAGCAAGACATTGCTGTTTTAACAACTGCCATCCGCGCCGAAGCAACGTAGCAGCAGCAACAGCATCAGCTGTTGAACTCCGCTCTCGCACGCATCAACAGCATTGAGGCTAACGCCTCAGCAGCACCAGGCTGCACGACAGACGCGACGAAACAACTCAATGAGCGCATCGATCATGTCGTCACCATCATCGGCGACGTAGGTGTTTTCAATGGGCCGGACACGATCAGTAGCACGGTGGCCCCCATCAAGACGGACATCACCAAGCTGCAAACGAGACCGGACGCCGCTACAAAGACTTACAAGATGCCGCACTTCGACATCAACAAGTTCGACGACTACAACAAGTTGGACGCCTTGACATGGTGGCAACGTTTCCTCACGGAAGCATCATGCCGCACTGTCCCGGCAGACGACATGATGAAGGCACTCTACTTGCA